TGTACATTATTGATATTAAAGTACTTGTCTTGTGATTGTTTGAAAAATAAAAATAACATTTAATTTTGATTTTTGATGAATATTTTTAAGATCTGTTCAATTTAAAATTGTTATTCCTCACTTAAATTTTAAAATCTATCAATAAAAACACGTTTTTCTTGCTCTTTTTGTTTATTAACAGTTAATTTAATTGTCAATGTTTATTTTTTGATGACATGGCACTTAATAAGCAAGAAAATTAAAATAAAATAATGCCAACTTATAATTTAAAACAAGTATGGACTCAATCAAAGGAGAAACACTGTTTTTCATTATCGCCTTTATAATTGACGCACTTTTATTGTTGTGAGGAATATCTTTTTACTCTTGGATCCTTTCGTTGATTCTATTGCCGTTGTGTTTGGTTTTGACGATTTTATTAATTTTCATGTTTATACACAGACACGACAAGTTTATTGGTGGATAAATTAAATGTTGTCTGAATCATGTTTTGTATCAAAAATTGTGGTGTAATGTTTGAATATATTGATAAATAACTGGTTATAAAAATGAATAGTTATTTTATTTGTTTTTATGTTGTTTTAGTTCTACTTAATATTGATTTTAAAATGTATTTACTATTTAAATTATTTACAAACACGTGATTCCTGTTATTATAAATTAAAGTCGTTTTATCAAATTGAAATAAAAAAACAGTCGCAAATTTTGAAATTTATTTTGACAGAGTACAAGAAGCTGTTTTTCTAAATAATTTGATTTTTTTTATTTAAAAGTAAAAAGAGCATTTAAAAACAGTCTGAACAGAATTTAAAGAAACGACCAAAAATATGAAAAGTGATATTGAAGTGTTATCTGCAAACAATGACACTGTTATTTACAAAATCTTCAAAACACAAAAAAGCAAATACCTTAAAGCTCAAATATTAGATTTGCAAAAATTTAATATTGAAAATGACTTCAAAGTGTTTACAAAATTCGTAAAAACTTCTTCTGCAATTAATTAGAGATTGGTAGAAGAACAAAATGAACTTGACACAAAAACAGAATTGCTGCTTTTACAACATCTGTATACATGATATGGAAAATCGTATTTGTTTAAAGTTATAAACGGACAATTGAATTACATGATGATACTTTGTATTTTGGACACCAATTGGAAATACTAGATTTGTGATTAAATTATATTACTAATAAAGATTGTTGATTAAAGACGAAATTTACATAAAAAGTGGTTCGGAATGTCTTTGAATACGACGGAGAAAAGGGTGCTTTATTTGGTAAAGATCTTTGCAATGGTTAAAAATAATAATAAACTGTTTTTCAAAAGTCGGTACTGTCATATTTTTAGAACTTCCTAAAGTCCCGTTTTTTATTTTTGTTTTTTCCTAAAAAAACAAAAAACAAAAAATCGAAAGTACCGACTTTATTTTGAAAAAAAATACCAATCCCGTTCAATTATTTTCGTACATATTCGGGAAAATATCGTAATATTAGCCAGCCTTTTCCAAAAAACTCGGTCCCGTTATTTGATTTGACCTCAACTCGATACTTCGCAACATATATTCAACATTGTTGGTTTAAAAGCACAACAATTAACGTTTAAGTGAATTTGGATGGTGTTGTTCGTGTCGAGTTTTAACTGAATATTACTTTCGTTAAAATTTAATTGAAATTTAAAACAAACTGTGGTTTTCTATTCTGAATAAAAAATAATGAAATATAGAGTTCAAAAAACACCAAAAAAATTACAGTAAATGTTTGATAATTTTGACAGGCATAAGTCAAATTGTCAAAGGGCAACACTAGAAAAGACGATAAAATAATACAAAATAACAATATTGTTTTGTTATTGGATATTTTTAAAAAGATGTTCTCACTGAAATGCTTAAAAAGAATGTCGACTTTATAAAACCCAACAAAGATAAGTTATCAAATCATTTTGTAATTTTTATTTTTCTTGTGACAACACTATTAAGCATACTAATCTCGGAACCTAGCTTATGTTTTCTGAATATTTTATAAAATAATAAAATGTTTGATAATAATAAAGATTGACATTAAATTTATTTGCTTCTGTACTAAAATGCACTTTTGGGACAATTCACATGTTTTTCTGAAACAAAAATCCTGTTATTTCAAATTTTATATGGAATTTTTTAATGCTTATAAATTCTCCAAATAAAAAAATAATTTTTGAAGACTGTTTTTCTCTTTTTTATTTGGAAAAAATAAGTGAATTTATTACAAAAAAAAGATTCCCAAAAATAATAAACAAAATAAATGCAAAAAATCGGGACACCTCAGTACCGACTTTTGAAAAACAGTTTAGTTTCACCAAACATTTTTTTATTAAAAATTTCATATTATTTTGTACATGCATATAACAAAAATCGGTTTCCGTTTGCTTGGAGTGGCATATCTATCATTGCAATAAAATATTTTCAAAAGATTATAACATTGAAAAAATAATATTATTATTTGATAAAGTTTATTCACAAGATAAATAAATAAATTATTGTGAATAAATTTACAAATAAAAATAACCTGAAACAAAATAGAGTTGATGGTTTTTTAAGGTGAGCTTCGAGATTGTCACGACCCAAGTAATCTTAAGATCTTTTGGGCCGAATTAATTATTTTTTTAGTATATCGGCATTTTACTTTCCTCTTTACCAAACAACAAAAAAATATTTTTTAAAAATTTTTACAAAATTATTTTTTTCTAAATTTACACATTGTTGAATTGATTATATATAATCACCGTTAACCTTAACAGATCGTGTTATCAATTTTCAAAACAAAGTTATCAATGCAATCAAATGTTCAAATAAACAAATAAACAAATGAATAATAGTGTTGATACAAAGGTAATTTTCAAATTAAATATCCACTTAAATAATAGTTGTTTATTACATTGAATTTATTAATTGTAAATAATAACTTTTGTGTGATGACTATGATATTCTTTAAAACAAAAATAAACGATTATCATCAAATTCATTGTGTAACTACGTCGATGTGCACAATTTTCATCCAACAATTTTTTGTTAATAATTATATACAAGAGAGTTGTTATATATGATTATTTTTTTATAACTATCAATTTCTTATTATTCAAATAAAAAAACATAATTAAACATATATATTTAAGTAACACCACAACATTCATTGTTATAAAAATAGAAACATGTATTGATTATTAACTTCAATAATCTAATAACAACAGATGATATATAAGGTTTCATTGTTAATCACAACATTTTCATTTTTATATAATGTCAAAAATAAAACTGGATAAATTTTTAGTGTGAAAACTTGTAACATCAAACCTGAACTTGAAATCATTACACTAAAATTACTAGGATAGCACGTTTTAAAACATTTTTGCTTTTAACTTGTTGCTCTATCATATACACATAAAATATAAAAATAAATATTTTATCATCAAAGAGTAAAAGCATATAATTAAAAAATAAAAAAAATAAAGTATTTTGTTGTGGTACATTATATTAGTCGTTTCAACAAAAATGTTCATGATTATTTCAAAAAATAATTATAGACATATTTATTTATAATAACAGTTATTCCTTTGAATCGTATATAACAGTGCATTAAAACATAAATTTTTGTTTTTTGGATTTAAATAACAATGTGCATACAATCTAAGTAATACACAATATTTAATAACAATTCAGTTGCTTTCAAAATGAATTATATTAATAATGTAGAAAAAATATTTTAATTAAATTTATAAAATATATGAAATCGTATCTAAATGACAACACCAATTTAATTCAAAATATTAATTTGTTTATTATCAACATTTATAATTTGTTTACATGTATATCTGATTATATCATAAACAAATTTCAAGTGGTTGTCATTTATTGTAACCAGTAAATATATAATTTATTTATTCATAACATGTACAAATGGGTGAGAACAACAAGTAGTTGAAAATATTTATTCACATTCTTTTCATACAATAATATTTTTGTATTTGTTTAGTTTGAAATTATATGTTTACACACTCAAAAGGTTTACACATTTAATAATTTAATTGGTTTTTACAATGAACATGTAAAGTAAAAAAAAATGAAACCTTTTATCTCAATTATTATAATAAAAGCATTAAAAGTAACTGTATTATCATGTTATTATTTCACTATTCAATAACTGTTGTGATGTTATTGTTATAATGGTGTTATTTATGTGTGAGGTTAAACACAATAAATTTAAAAGATAATATATTAAATAACATTATTTACATGTTATAATTAACAATGAGTTATTGGTAAATTATAATTTTTATGTAGTTACACAATTAAAATGATCACAAGTGTTTTAAATAAAAAAACAAATTCAATTATCTAAAATATGTTTAAAAAAATTATTTTCTTTGGTTTATGTTTACATTAACAATTACATTAAAATATAATTGTTTTTTATTTTATCATTCCATATTTTGTTATATTGACAACTATGTGTGTGATTATCAAAAACTACATTTTTAAATTGAAATATAATTGTTTAAATATAAATAATTATTAAAAAAAACAATTAATTTTTTTGTTATCACTTTTTAAACATAAAAAATAATTAATTAATTAATAAATTATTTTTTATATTTATAATTATTTGACACGCATTTCAATCCTATTGTTACCAGCTCTTTATTATTTTAAGTATGTTTTTGACTTCAAATAAATATTATCAGCCCAAGCATTTTGATGAATTTTCAGGGTCACCTTTAAACTAAGTTTTATTTTTTTAAATATTTTTAAAAATGTTCATCATTAAAAATTTAAAAACTTTTTTATTTAAAAATTATAAAGACGAATAACAATAAATAGCGTCTCATCAAATATACATTATTCTAAAATAAGCTATAAAGCAAACAATAAAATTATTATTTCTTAATTAACAATGTTACGATTCTTTAAATTGTAACATAGTTAATTAATTGTAACAATCACAAATTGAAGAACTATTTAATAAAAATGTTACCAATAATAAATAGACCGTTACTCAATGAAGCGGAATTGACAACAGTACATGAACGACTCTTTGGACCCGATATTTGTGTGTTACAAGATGATGAGCAATCTGAACTACCAAAATCCACAATTAAAGAACTTGTCAGATCATATATCACCACAAAAGACCAACTTGTTTCGGCATCAGATACACTTGCCAAAATGTCCGAGTATTATGTTTCCAACACAGAAGTTTCAATAACAAAAGAAGACCAAATGAAATCATTACAGGAGCAAATGGAGATACACGAACGCATCTATGACAAGATGGATGAAGAAGATAAACGTCGAGAAGAAATCAAACAAAAGTGCCACCAGTTACAGTTACAACTGACCACTTTAAAAGAAATTATTAATAACATAATAAAATGCAATAAAAACGATGATCTTACATTTTACAAAAACTATGATGATAATATTTACGACATGATCGATTTAGAAACGAAATTGTGTGACGAAGAAAAAAGTCCACTTCTTCTCAAAATTGCAGACATTGAACTGAAGCACAAAAATAAGATTGAAAGATATAAAAACTTATTAAAAATGACTGGAGAATTCAAATTGGAGTTTTTTGGACAATTTGGATTGCCAAAAAACAGTGTTTTTGAAGACTTCCACACACTTGAAAAGAACATCAAAAGTAAATTTGGGAAGGTGCTGTATCAAACAAAAGGTGTCCCAAACGAAAATGGAATTCAAACTATTTTTAATACAGAACAGAAATTCTGTGTTGTTTTTAAAAAAACAGGCAAAGAAGTTTATTGTGGATGTTGTGTTATAAAAAGTGAAGGTAAACAAGAAGTGTATCCGTTTTCTATCAAAGAAGATGGTCATGTAATTTTGGACGTAAAATGTGACAATTACTTCATTGATACAAATAACAAAGCAATCACATTTGGAAATTACACCGTTGAATTAGCAAAACAACAACAAGTGAATGTTTCAAACAATTTTGTGTCAAATCCACTACACCAAAGTTTAATGGGCGCACAACGTTCTTCAAAACAGGTTGTGTGTGGTATGAATGTAGTCTTTAATCCACAAGTCCAGAATCCAATACAATCCGATAAACCACAAAATTTATTTATGTCACAGCACAATGAAACTGTTCCACTAAATCAACAAATAATTGGCGCATCAACTTCATCAAAACAGTTTGCTTATCCTACAAACCCATTCTCCAATTTACAAGTCCAGAACACAGTACAATCCGATAATGTACTGGGTTTATTTGTTTCACAACACGCTGAAGTAATTTTAAATAAAACTACTTTTAAAGAAGAGTGTCTCACAATTATATCTCTCATTTAATTGATGTTCTGTCTGTTGCTATTTTTTACAAATTGAAAATAAGTATTGTCAATCTGGGAACGTTGTTAATTTAGTTAAAGTTATTTGTTGAATATCATTGGTTGTTTTTACAACTTAAAAATTACAAGCAATAACACAATAATGAATTTGATTATAAAAAATTTACACTAAAAACAATAAAACGATGCTTTTTGACATCAACAAGTTAACGATTAATATTGTACACAACATAAAAACATAATGATATGTTCAAAATCATTAAACTAATGAGTATTGAACGATCAAAAATGAATCAAACATTTATAACTATAAATAAATAACAATAAAAATCAAAGAAAGAAAACGCGCCGCGAGCGTCAAGAAAAAAGAGTTGTGAAGTCTCAGACAGCCGGTTAATCAACTTGTTGATTTATGAAAGACTTATAAACTTTACTTGAATTTTGTTAGCAATATTTTGTGGTTATTTTGCTTAAATATATAACCAAATCAACTGTATTAATTCACTTTTAAACGTCAAAATGATTTATTAAATTGTTTAAACTTATTTATGTTATTGAAATTGTTATTGTTTATTTGGTTTTGTAATAGTTATATTAATTAAATTTTTTGAACTCATATTTCCCCGTAAGTTACGAACATTTTGATCTAAAACTCGCTTTAAAGAAATTAATAAGGTTACCAGAATTACCAAAGTTTATGAACTGACTTTGTTTTGAACGTTATGTATTTTTTGATGAGTCTGGCACATTTTAAAATTATTGGCAATATATAATGCATATTTGTATTAATAAAATTGATACAAATAATAATGTAGTAAATATGATTTTTAATATAGGTGTTTTTAAATAATAATTAATTTTGGTAAATATTCCGTATTTTTAAACAACTTTAATATTTTTATGTGCAAAAAATAAACCCAGCCATTTGTTTTATTTTGATGTTAAATTATCAAGAAACTGTGAATATTTGAATTGCCGAACCAAGTCAATACTCCACTTCCAGTTTATTTCCAATTTTCCAAATTTTAGTTATAATCTGAAAATTGATTTATTAACACTTCCCAATATCAAACTTTTATAATTTTTGGTTTAAAAATAATATTAATTCGACTAAATTAAGTGTTTCAACAGAAAACAAAAATTAAGGGGGTAATAATAAGCAAGTTTCGTTTAAAATGTGTCGGTTTTTTGTTGATAAAATGGGTTATTTATAATTTGATGTCGCTGAAATACCACTCAGATCGAATTTACTATATATTTGTTATATTTGTAGTTAATTTTACCATTTTGAATCATAAAAAACGAAGATAAAATTTTTGAAAATATACCGAAAACTTTTGAATCTGTATATGGTTTGAGTTTGTTTTTCAAAAATGTGTTTACTGTTTTTAGTTGTACAAACTGTAATTTACTTGATTTAAGTAACTGTTTTGTAAGTTGAGTTGAAATATTAAAAAATAATATAATATTTAAATTATAAATTTTGATATTAATATTATCAATTATAATTAATTTTTTATTATGAACTTTTGGGAATTACAATTTTCTTTTATATCTTCCCAAAAAAATTCTCCACACAATTTTAATTATCACATCGCGAATGAGTAACGTTTATGTGTTTTCAATTGATTTGGAAAGTGAACAAATATCTGTTTTGGTTATTTTGAATATACGTTTTACCTCTAAAAAAAATGAGAAGGTAAGTATCCACAACGCCTTGACAGCATATTTGATGCATTTTTGAATATAGAACACAAATAATTTTCCAATTTGTATTTAAATGTATTGTTGTTGTTGTTTTTAAATTTTATAAAAAGCCGAAAAAATATCAAAACTGTGTTGAACTTTTCAACACAGTTTTGTTGAAAATAAAAGAACTTGACATTAAAATTGATGCAGTTGTATGTACTGTTTATTTCCCTCTCGAGTTTTGCACTACTTCTCTTGATGGTACTAACATTCACAATTCAACCAAACACCAATTTCCCAAAGAAGTCTTATTTGGTGTACACACAATTTTTGAATGACAAACAAGAGAAGTTGATTTATAGTAAAGAAGACGTGTTATTGCACAACAAAGAATATAACAAACAACACCCAAAACCAATTGCAAATACAACAAAAAACAACAAAAACGAGTATTACAGAGATCTGAGAATGGATACAGAAGGAATAGAAGATTTCAAAGAAGACAATACCCATCTCTATCGCAACCTCTTCAAAATATTTCGATTCACAAAGCCTCGAAAAAGTGTTCCAGTAGACTTCTCAAAAAGTATTGAAGGTCTTCCAGATGAATGTGGAGGGCATTTGGATGCGCTTTGGCTTTGGGTCAATGGGAGTGAAGAGAAGTGGGTTGAAAGTGTCAAGAAATACAAGCCGGACTATGACTCAGCACGATTCAGAGATTACAACACACTTTTGTACTCGATGAGAAGTGTATATAAATACGCGCCGTACATCAAGAGATACTTTTTGGCAACAGCAGACCAAGTCCCAAGTTACTTGAATGCGCCACTTGGAGAGACTTCTTTTATTCTGAAAAGTCACAATACAAATCAGAGTAAATACTCACATGCAAAACAACACAAAGAGAGTGTGGAGGACGTCTATAACAATCACAGAGACAAAGATCTGTATACACTTGAATTGGTGTCACACTCCGAATTTGTCGATAACAAGAGTCTTCCATTGTTCAACTCAGACGCACTCGAAAGTCGAATTCATCACATCAAAAATCTTGGAAACTGTTTTGTCTATTTCAACGACGACTTCTTGTTGGCGAGACCAACTCCAATCAGTTACTTCTTCAAATACGGCAAAGTGCACCGGTATTGTTCGATTGATTATGACGCACAGAAATACGCACACGTCTCACAACACCAAAACTCGACGTCCGTTGCAAATGGACTGATTAATAAACGATTTGGGTTATCAAAAGACACACAACACTATTTCCAGTCGCATGTAGAATACACGTTATTGAAAACATCATTACTTGAACTCGAAATGGCGTTTCCTGTTGAGTTTGAAAAACAACAAAATTTGAAATTCAGAGAGTTTGGTGCAATTAATATGCAACACCTTGCTATGCATTATATGAGATACACAGGAAAGGCATTTCAGACATTTGAAATGGAGTGGAACTACTTCTTCGACTTCAAAATAAATCACAACAAAAACCATGAAAGTTTATTTAGAATTAATGAGACAGAACCTTACTCTATTTGTATCAATGACGCTTTGAACGGGTATGACAACGATCCAGAAGCGGGAGACAAAGAAATCAGATACGTGTTGAGATTTTTACAGAGAATGTTACCAGAGAAAACGCCATTTGAACTCGATTTTGAAAGTAAATAATAACCATATTGATTTGTACTTTTCATTTACTTTAAATATACTTTATCTAATTAGAAAGTTACATAATTTAATTTACTATTACTGTGGATTTATATTAAAAAATATATATTAATTAATATATATATTTAGTATTATAATAAACTATTAAACAACCATAATAAATAAAATTATATTATTATTATAATTATAATAAAAATGATAATAATTATTATTCAAACTTCATAGTTTTGAGTAAAACATCGAACAAAAAAATACTTGTTGAAACAAAACACAATGTCACGCCTTGAAAAAGTCTTTCTAATGAACGTCTCTCTTTATATAAACACAGTCGAGTCAATCAGAAATTTTATGATGGTTAACAAACAGTGTCTTGAAGCGATTAAAATGCTTCACATCAATTCATACATCGACGTTTCGTCTTACGTTTTTTCTTGTGAGATTTCTTCATCACAAACATTTTACTCTCACATCGCTGACTTCATTTTCAGAGTGTTTGAGAACATCGAAACACTCCAGTGTTGTGCTTATATGTTAGAAAACTGTTCTTTTGAGAAGTACAACGACAGAATCCAAAGCATTGTTATCGTTAAAACCGCACAAAACAAATTTAGTTTCAAACAACACAGACATATGCCGAGTTGCGTGTTACCAAAGATAAAAAGCGTCTTTATAGATCCATTTAATTTCTTTAGATTAAGAGTTGATCAATTAACGAATCTAAAAATAGTAAGTCTCTGTGCGTGGAAACTACCGAAGTATGTTCTAAGAGATGTTTATGAGAGCAACTCCGTTACAACTGCCTCATTTTGGCGCTGTGCAATTCCAGAGTTCTTACTCAAAATATGTCGGCAAATCGAACTCCGCAAATCAAAGTTTATGAAAGAAATTGAGACCACTACAGTCATTGAAAGCACAGTATTGACTAAAGTGTATACAACAGATTTGTCTCAAGCAGTTGTAGAACTGAGAAAGAACAACGTCAAAGTGCTCAATTTTTCAAGTCCACAAATGTTAAGTAAAGAAGAACAAATTGTGTTGGGCGACGACAGATATAGTGGAGAAGTCTTTGTGACGACGTCAAAAGCATTACTGGAAGACAGAGTTTATGTGAAAAAGTATTATAACAATGAGAAGTACAATATCGACAAATTTGATGATAAAATAACACAGCAAATTGTTGGTGAAAAGTGTGAATTAAATACCAACAAAAAACAAGGCAAAAAGCCGTATTTGGGGTTTACATTGACATTACACTCGCCGTTGGTGTTGGTTGAAAATGGTGTGAGAGAGATAGTTATATTGTCGCGACGATCTGTGTGTGTCAATTTATCCAAATTACAACATGTGACAATCCGTCTAATTTATTGTTCGTCTTTCACAATTTCAAATTCGAATGACATTCTTTGTGATTTCAAGTGTGTGACAATTGCACATCTGAACAAGTTAGTAAATGGAATTGTTGAAATTGGCGATTATTGTGAGTCTTTGGTGATCCACTCAGAGTGCAAAAATTGCTCTGTTACTTCAGCAAACCACACAAACAGCAATTTGATGCCAAAAATCACAAAAATTGAAATGAACTTTTGTGAAAATGTGAACATCGAAAAGCTCGACATTGGAGAAGTGTTTTGTTCACACGTGAAAACTTCGAAAATTGAGAATTGTGTCATTGGTCACGTTACATTTAGAAATTGCACCGAGTGCGAATTTCTTCGCACAAATTGCCCAAAAAGGGAGTGTAACAAAATTACATTCACGTCACAAAAAAATGAAAAAAAGTGCAGACGCCTTTATTCATTAAAGTCCTCAACAACCCACGACGAATTCACAAACAACGTTAACTGCAGGTTTGTGTGCTTCTTAAACGGGAAAACTTCTATATCAGAAAACGAACTTTCGCAATTCCAGAATGCCGAAATACAACAACAAAAGAACTTGTTTGTAATGGCAAAAAGAGTCGTCTTTGTTGGGAAAAAAGTAAAAAAGTTGCACTTTGACAGATTGCCACCAAATGACCAATTCAAAAAGTTTAACATCACATTTGATCGATTTTTTGTGGGTGAAAAAATTGAAATTAATTCTGCAAAATCAGTGAAGTACAAAAACGGTGATGTAAAAGATTATTATTACGGCCCATCAATACTTTCTAATGTGAAAGTCAAACATTGCAAAAACGCGAATTTGTATTTCAAAAACAACGAATTGGTGGTCGATAAAGTCAGTGGCATCGTGACAAGAAAGTTTCTTGTGTCAAACAAATGTTTTTATGCAAAAGACAATGAGAAAAAGACACTCTTTGACTGCGATTGTGCCATTTTCGATGTGAGAACAAACTCCGATGTGTTCGATTTGTCAATGTATGAAGGCAAAAAGGTTGTAATTACAAATATCAAAAAACATGTCATTTCGTGTAAAAAACTTGTGTTGAGTGATAAAGTCGAAGAGTTGGAACTCCAAGAAATTCAATTTGAAGAAGTCGAAGGAACTGGTCTGAAGAAAGCGAGAAATTTGAATGGAAAAATCGTGAAGACAATTTTGTGTGAGAAGTGTGAAAAGGTGTTCAGGAAGAAATGTGAGGAAATTGTATGCTCGGACAACGTCGAAAAAGTTGTGATTGGAAATTGCAAAAAGTTGGTGAAAATCATTTTGTCTGAAAACACAAAGATACTACACATCCAAAACTGCCCTAAATTAACTCATATTGAGGGTATCAAACAAGTTGCAACTCTCACCATTAAAAATTGTGAAAAATACATTCATTAAATTTTTGGTATGATTTGTTTGTGTAAAGAGCACCAGAAAACTGTCGTACAGCAGAAAATAGTCGTACACATTGTTTTATGGTATTTTTCTGTATAAAGTCGGGTTTTTATTTTTTCAAAACCCTTTTTTTTCCTGATTGTTTAGTCAATTTTTATACGTGAAAAAATATTCCTGATTTTTTGGTTTGTTTGATACTAAAATCACAAGTGTACGACAATTTACTTGCTGTACGACTATTTTCTGTTGGTCTTTATTATTTTTATTTTGAATAGAATTTATAAACTTCAATATAACATTAAATATTCATTTGTATAGTCGGGGGATAAATAGCATTAAAAAGGGACAAAGGTAGTTAATTTTGATAAATATAATTTTGAAACTATAATTTTTAAAAAATCTATTTAAAGGTCAAAATAAACATAAAATTAAAACAATAATATAAATCGTTTTTTATTTTAAATGATTATAAATTGAATATTTATAAACTTCTATTTCAAAAATAAACAAAAACACCTCAATTTGTCCACTTAGAAAAATGTGGAAGTCTAAAACGCAGCACTTTTTATGGTTTGTCTGAAACTTGTTTTGTTAAAGAATTTTTCCTTTGTTTTTTCCTTTGTTTCATTTCTTTTCTGCTCTTCTTCAACTCCAATTGTTTTAATGTTAAAATGGTCTTTCTCTTTTCCTTTCTCAGTGGGAATGGTTCAACAACTAAAGATTGAAAGATTTTAACAAATAATGATTTTTCAGTGATTCCGTGACACTTTAAAGGATTGACACTGTTGTTAATTCATTAAACTCTGGCATTTTAACCATATACATCATGAATATATATTGAAATACAGTTTTTAAACTGGTTTCTAGTATTTGAATTGCTTTTTTATGTTGATTGCCTGTTGTTGTTTCATCAAGGGTTCCTTTCTCTTCTTCTTCCATTGTTTTCAAAGATTGAATAATATCAAAAATAGAAAGTTATGGTTTTTTATTATTTTCAAAGTAGTTAATTGAAAAAACCCTTCTAATACTTTTATAGTTAAAAAAATTATATTTTATAGTTTTTTACTCAAATTAACTACTTCTGTCCCAAATTAACCCCCTTTATCACCCGACTATAATATTATTTATTATAACTTTTTCTTGATAGTTTAAATTAATAATATACACAATTTGAATATTAAATGTTGATGTTATATACAGTCAAAACTAATTATATTTACTTGTATTGAATATGTTCTTTGTAATAATTTTAAATGCTTTTGCATACACTTTTACGACTACTTTTCAAAGTATAATCATGATAGTTATTAAAAAATATTACAACTTCACATCATTTTATTTTATGACAAAAACTATATCATCAAGTGTTGTCAATCAACTGTAAGGCATAACCATTTCAACTACATTTTTCACTCCGAAAACTGTCAAATACACATCAATTGGTTCAATATATGCAATACCTGAGCCAATCGAAAATTAGATGCCGGTGACCGGTTATGGTGTGACGTAGCTGACTCTCTTTATGAATGAAAGTGCATACTGGCACTTAATTTGGTAGTCAAACCTAAAAAAGCAACTTTACATACATAACGGAATCTGGCCTGATGTATAATAACAACTGGTCGGTTCAGGCAAAGCATGTTTCACAGAGCTAATATTACACCAAAATAGACTGGGAATGACAGTATGATGTGAAATACAACTTCACCATTCCAGTTGATAAAAATAGCATTTATGGTGTTATTTTATCAATTGAAAACGAGTTATTGTTTAACGTCACTTTTATACTAAATTCTAGGTGCTTCAACTTTAAAAGGAAATGCATTGAAAACAAATTTTTACAAAATAAGAGCCAGTGAAACTCACTTTATTTCCAAAAATATCACAAAAACATTTCCAGTATACAATGCTCATTTTGGATGTGACTATCCTCCCAAACAAACTGTTACTGGTTACTTCAGAGTATCGCGTAATGTGTCTGACAAGAAATGGTGATTTTATGACACAAATGGTTATCCATATTTCATGATTGGTGTAAACAGTGTGACTCCGACAAAGGGTATGACAACATTTTAAAAAAGTCTCAATACAACGACTTCATCACAACCAAATACAGTGACGTGGAGCATCGGTACGACGCCCAAATTAAACAACTCAAAGGTTGGGATTGAAATTCAATTCCCAATTGGGCAGACACAAATTTGTGTCACAGAGGTTTCCCAAATACAACAAATCACGTCTTGACTGGGTTTACTTCAGACTTCGAGTACATCGTTTCAAAAACATCAAAAATTGGATTTCCCAATGTTTTCAGTGAATTGTGGAAAGCCTATTTAGAAGTGTATTTGGAAGAAATTGAAGAGAATCGCGACGACACGTGGATATTTGGTCACTTCTTTGACAATGAAATAGAGTGGTGGGAAAAAGAGGAGGAAATGGGAGTGAAAAGGAGACTGGAATTTGTTGAATTCGACGTGATTTTACCGCACAAATACAGAGTGAAAATAGCTGCTTCAAATATTTGAATATTTAGAAGTGAAAAATAGAATTAATAATATTGAAAAGGCATTTGAAGAATATTTTGGAGTATCAAATATCACAAATAAAAACAATTTTTTTGAACAGTTTTGAAGTGGAGACAAGTGGAGTGATGATGGAAAAACATTGGTTTAATTTATTAAAAAGAAGTCGCTGAAAAGTATTTTAGTGCCTTTAAAAACACATTCAAAATGTATAACAAAAATCATTTGTACTTATATACACGCCTTCCATGAACATCACCAACCATCTTTTAATAGTCGACAAGTATTGTGATGTGAGTACTTATAATATACATTTTTATGTGTCCCCACTATCTGGAGTACTTGACAGCGTCATAACGGGTGGGGGATATAAAGATTGGGATAAAAATGTTTGGGATAAAATGTTCGGTTAAAAATAATTTCTTCAATGAAACATGCATTTAATTTACATAAAAAATCAAACATGTTTATAATCGTTATTTAAATATAACTTGTCAAAAGAAAAATATTGTCAAAATTGAACAAATCTATATATATTAATAAACATTAGTTGTTAACAAAAAGTAAATGGTGCCATTATAATTATAAACATGATATTAAAAACACGTCAAATATATAGCGAATATTATTTATTTTAGTTTTATATAAATAATTTATTCGTTTAATTTTCGATGATATTTTTCAAAATCAACAATAATAGCCAATAACACCAAAGAGACAATTATTTATTTTAATTTATATGATTGTTCAATATTAATAAATTGATATTAAATGAGACAAGTTAATTATAATTGTGTTGTTTTGTAACAATAAAAGGAAATCAAATAAAGCAATTATCAAATGGAAGATTATCACCCCGAACTCCACCAAGTTAAAAGTCAGAAACCTACGAAAAATGGAATTTACAAAATGTTACCAGTTGTAGACAATTTTGTGTTTTATCCACAAAATGATTCTTTAACGGTGTTCAAATGTCAGGAGTGTGATGTAAAAATAATTGTTACACAAATGAATGGTAACGGAGATGATATCAAATACATTGATTACAAATTCAAAGATTCTGAGCACACCAGACACTCTCATCTTCCTTCTATTAAAAATGAAGGTAATGGTGCAATTCGTGATATTATTAGTAATGGAACCAACATTCTAATGTCTGCAACAAAACTAATGGACCAATATAATAACGACCATCCCAATGACAAGCGAAGACAGACTTCAATTAGAAGAACCTTTAATCTTAAAAAAGCAGAAATGATCGAAGATAAAATGAAAGAGTTACTGGAAAGTGGAAAATACACAACAAAAGAAGATGATAACGTGTTTATTCTTATATCAAACGAAAAAGTAACTCAACTTAAAGAACGAAAAGTGATTTATTTGTGTATGGATGGAACATTTAATTCAGCACCAAATACATATCAACAATTTTACACAATCCATGCATTTTTATCTAATGGAAAGTCTTTTACTCTCGTTCACGCTTTAATGACAAAGAGACGGGAGAGTGGTTATGATACACTTTTTTATTATATCAATTTGCATTTTAAAGAAAAGTGGGACAGTGAATTATTTAATGAAAACACAAGTATTATGCTTGATTTTGAAATTGCCATTATAAATTCAATTTCCAAATTTCACTGTAATGTGCATGGATGTTATTTCCACTTTACACAATGTATCTGGAGAGCAGTACAACGGTTATCACTGGCCAAACTATATTTCCCTTCTTCAAACGTTTGGACAATTGTGAACGACTTAAAACTTCTGGCTTTCGTGAAACCATCTGAAGTCAATGAACAATTTGAAAAAATAGTCGAAAGAATTCCATCTTATAATCTTGACAAAAATACCAGCAACTCAATCAATGATTTAATCAATTATTTCAGGGATAATTGGTTGTTTAAATAGCCGATTAAACTGTGGTCACAATTTAACCAACAATTGAGAACAGACAATTTGAGCGAGTCGTACCATTTAGCTTTGGTCAAAAGGCTTAATTGTAAAAAACCAACACTCAATACACTATTGATTCATTTAATGAAGAGAGAAGAAGCAGAACTTAAAAAATAGAACAGATGGACAGAGGGTTAAACCATTTTGTAAACAGACCAACCCGTATTTTTAATTTGACTTTGAATTATTATAGCGGAAGCAGCAAATACGAAAAGTTTAAAGAACATTTATTAAATGAAATTGAAAAATATAAATGGAACAAATTATATGAAAATTCCATTGAAAACACGGAAAATGAAATTCTGAGAATTGATTACATTAAAACAGTTCAAATTAATGAAAATGAAATTGGTCAACTAAGAGACGCATCAAATTGTGACCATAAAGAAATTGAATTTGGTGAATTTGTTGATAAAATTGATGATGAACACATGGAGCAAAATGTTATTACCAAAAGAAAAGAAGATGTCGAACAGGTTTTCATGAAAAGAGTAATAAATACACAAGAGTTAATAAACGACATAA